ATATTCAACATTGCTCCAATAAGGAAAAAAAAAAAAATTGTATAGGTCCTCTGGACGGGTTCTTCTCTAATGAAACGTTTCGTCTCTCTTCCAAGAGACTTCTTCAGTCTGAGAGTTTCAGGCAAAATTCAGGCTTTATGAAACTCTCAGACTGAAGAAGTCTCTTGGAAGAGAGACGAAACGTTTCATTAAAGAAGAACCCGTCCAGAGGACCTATACAATTTTTTTCCTTTGATTTTTTACCTGGATTACTGAGATGCATCAGGATATTATAATTATAATTATTTTTCCAGTGAGAAAGTTGTTTTCTTTAATGCCATGTGAATTTTGAGCAGGTCTTGGGCAGGACAGAGAGCGGCTTGGCCAAAAAGGATAAATAAAATAAGCAAACACACTGCCGCACTGGCAAAAGTGTATGTATATTATCGGTTCTGTTTGTTATGATATCGGACTGATAAGTATGACGTCACAATTCCCTGATATCGGGCCAATAGTTATTGTGCACCCCTAAAGCCTACGGTGAATGGCATTAGCATCAGTGCGAGTTACTGCAATGTCAATGTCAACTTTATTTATAGAGCACTTTAAAAATCATCAACCAACTGCATCAAAGTGCTGTACAGTAATCATAAAACAACTTGTAAAAACATACTAATACTAAAGTAAAAACAATCAATTAAATAGACAAGACACATAGAATACAATCCTTATAAAAATGCCAGAGAGTAAAAATGAGTTTTCAGAAGAGATTTGAAGTGTTCCAGATTATGGGCAGATCTAATATTGAATGGTAAGTTGTTCCACAAATTAGGAGCAGTGACAGCAAATGCCCGGTCTCCTCTGCTTTTCAGTCTGGTCCTGGGAACGTGTAGAAGCAGTTTATTGTTCGACCAAAGTGATCTAGAAGAAGAACAGTTACGTAGAAGATCCTTAAGATAGGCTGGGGCCAAGCCATTTATACTGTAGCTTTAAAAACCAATAAAAGAATTTTGAATTCAATGCACTAAAAAACTGGCAGCCAATGCAGAGAAGCCAGTACTGGTGTTTTATGATCATGTTTTTTGGTTCCAGTTAGGAGTCGTGCAGTAAAGAGTCTATGGCTGTGTCTGAATTCATGGGTTGCAGCCCACGTAGACTGTGGCCAACATTGGGCTCACCCAACGTTGACCGCAGGCCACTTGTGTCGACTGCATAAACAGCTGTGAAATGAGACGGTCTAGTCTGTGGAAGACATATATTTGTGTGACCATGCGCTGGCTCGTTGCACATCATATTGCTTCAATTGTTTTTTCATGGTATAACTTCACAAAAATCACAATTTAACTGTCCCAATTCTGAGTAAGCTGGAAATATTAAACAATCCTCTTCCCAAATACATTCTAAAATATTTTTACTACAGGACAGGATTAAAAGACGGGGAGATTAGCTCCCAGGGGCTGTAAAAGTCTCTGGTTTGTTTTAATAAAGAATATGCTAATGGAGTTATTAAAGGCAGTTCATTAATTTTTGTTTGTCATTTATTTAAATGACTGCAGTTGTATGAAACCCTCCAATTAAACTCTAAAGGTTACAAGCAAACTAGCACCCAGTCAATCTTACTTTTAGAATGGGGAGAGGGGCTATTCACAACACTTTCATAATTTTTTTTTACAATTCTGGGGGGCTTAGGAACATTTTACTTCCAGAACTATTGACATTTATAATTTTGCATGCGTGTGTCTTCAGGAAAGATGAGGTAATTTATAATGTCAACGTAGCTAACATCAGGACATAGCTTCATGTTATCTGTCCATGAGCAGTGACAGGTGAGCCACTGTTAAAGAATTGTCCTCGCCCCTTTTTTAAAACATTCTTACAGTATACACACCTCCAATGTGTTGCTATTTACGCCAGGTAAAAAAAACTTCAGTGAAAAATACTTTGATAAACAGCGATAGAGAAGAGTATCCCCGTAACTGTGAACAACAGTGCAAGCGGAAATACAGTATGAATTATGGGTAATGGCGCAAAGTCAGGAATACTGTGGCTAGCTCTGTCCAGTTCACCCATTTCAGAATAAAAGCATTTCTTTCATCATGTTTGTATTTTTATAAATACTGTTAATTCAAATACTTCCTCAACTATATTTTCTGTGTTGTCTATTTTGTTATTTGTTACTTAAATATTGTTAAGTGTTATTTTATTTCTTCTTGATGCACTATGCTACACACAAAGTGCCTGACACATCCAGCACGGCCTGTAAGGAGTCTCAAAGTTAGCGCAACCTAGTTTAACAGACGCTAATTGGTCTGCTAACAGTTTCCAAAGTCAACAAAAATGCTAATCCGCTAAATGAGAAGCTAGTTCCCTTGTTAGCAGATAAGCAGAACTGTGCCCACCTCTGATTGTGACAAATAGCCAATAAGAATATGTGTCCCCACAAAATCAGCTTTACAGACATTTCATTTTCTCATTTGTACTTTTTGTATCTGAGGCCACATTTCTGTCATCATTTGTGTTTGTTGATGTCATGATGTGTTTGTCTCACACCAGCCAAAATGTCAACCCGGGAGAAAAACAGCCAAGCTGGTAAGTCATGACGGGAAGGATAACATGCTAACAGCAGCTTTAGTACTCTTTCTGTTTCTAGACCAATCACTGCTTTCCATCATAAACCACACCCACCTGCTGTATGTCACTCAGACTTCTCAGGTGATGAAACATCATGTTTACTTCAATATATGTTCAAACGGAGAGAGTGAAAGTAACCAGCTCAACTGAACTTGTTTATTTCAACATTAGACAGACGCCTTTTCAAAATTTAATCCATGATGGAAGAACAGGCATTAAGATGCCTCAAGTACAAAGACCTGCTGTACATAAGGCCCCTGGTGTTTCTGTCTGAGGTGCTTCACCTGCATCGGTTTCTTTTACTGATTTACAAGTAGCTGTTCCCTTTTGCTCACCTGCCTGATTATTGTATGACATAGCTTTTCCACAATGCTATTTGTTTCTGTATCTAAACTAAGTGTTGTGTCATTATTCATTATTAAAAACTGGTTTCAGACCTTGCAGCTTGTAGAATCTCCTTCAACAGCAATAATTCAGCAGTGGTTTTCTGTAGAACTGTATCTGTCTCTAATGTGGTTGAAGAGAATCTTCAGTTCATTGAGGTTTACAGACATTGGTTTCTGCTCAGCTCTCAAAGGTCCCCACATCGTTTCAATTAGACCAATGTTCAGAACTTTGGACCATTGCAGCACCTTGATTTTTTTCTTTTTGAAACAGTTATGTTGTAGAGTAGCTGCTGTGTTTGGAATCATTGGGCGGCTGTGGTGGAGTGGTTAGGGGGGTTGTCCTGGAATTGGAAGGTCGCCGGTTCGATCCCCCGTCCAGCCGTTTCTGTTGTCGTGTCCTTGGGCAAGACACTTCACCTGCCTTGTCTACTGATGGTGGTCAGAGGGTCCGGTGGCACCTATGCTTGGCAGCCCCGCCTCTTGTCAGTGTGCCCCAGGGCAGCTATGGCTACAATGTAGCTTACCATCATCATTGTGTGAATTTGAGTGTGAATGTGAGTATTGTCTGTAAGTGTAAAGCGCTGTGGGGTCCGGAGGGACTTGATAAAGCGCTCTATAAGTTCAGTCCATTTTACCATTGTCCTGTTGTATCATGACCCAATTTGGTCCAAGCTACAGCTGTCAGACAGATGACCTCAGGGAATCCTTTGGTCTACCGAGGAGTTTATAGTCGATTCATACAATCAACTCCCACCACCATGCTGACATCTGGTACAGGCATTTGCTGTTGTGCAGTATGGTCTGGTTTTGTGCAGAACGTTCTGCGGTTCCTTCAGATGAAACTTTACAAACCAAGCCGTGCCGCAACCTTCTTCAATCTTTCTCTCATTGTTGCTGAAGATAATCAGCACATTTGATAAGCAACTCCTGACTGATATTGAACCTCTGAAATCCTATGGAAGCAGTAATGCTGAAACCAGTTTTTCACTCAGTTGTAACATTTGTTTTTAGTTTAATAGAAAATGTGGTTGAATTGTGAGTTTTTATTGATTTAAATGCACTTTATTTTAACACATTTTTTGGGATGAGGTAGAATCACAATCTTACTATAAGTAATAAACAGCCTTCTAAAATTTGCTGTAATATTTATTGCTAAGTCTATTCAAATATTTATATATTTTTAAAACCAAAGGAGAAAGTCTTCATTAACATGTTCTTCTTTCATCCTACTCTTTCAGAGGGAAACTCCATCAAGATGTTCATGCGTGGTCGACCAATCACCATGTTCATCCCCTCAGATGTAGAGAACTATGATGACATTCGAATAGAACTTCCTTCAGAAAGACTGAAACTAGAATGGGTGTATCCTTTATGATTGTTGTGGCCATTTTCTCAAACATTTTCAAAACTGAAGAAGTAGGCCGGCTACCAGATGCTCAATTATGCAGCAGCTCACTCAGTTCATTAATGCTCATCAAACTTTCCAGCAAAAACTTTGTCTTTAGACTCCAGTGGTCCAAGTAGTCCATCCGTTTTCCTTAATGGCATAAACAATATTAACACCTACCAGTTCTGATGAATGAATCAAGTGTCTTGTTCCAGGCCTGAAGCAGGGCATCCATCCAAAAATCCCTTAATCAATCCATCCATAAATCTTTTCCAACAGGTGAGCCATCCAAATTTCAACTGACTTGTGTCCAGTTGTAATCGGCAAGTCGAATTCTCCAAAAAATCCACAGTTAAGCACCATCTATTGAAGGGCAGGTTTTTTACTTTATGTATTGGCCATTTTCTTTAACGTTCAAATGTTTTAAATGGCCACTATTGCAATGGGGTAGTATTTTCAATGCAGGCAAAAGAAGTCCATTGTCCAAAACCATGTAGATGTCTTCCATTGATTTAATCTAAAAGAAAAAAAAAAGATGGAACTTCCAAAATTTAACAAGCAAACATTTGTGTTCCACCACACCCTCTTCTGCTCTGGTAAAAAAAACAACAACATATGCCCACCCCAATGCATGCTGGTCCAATACTAGAGCACATACTTAGGGGTTTCCCAATTTTTACAATTAAACCAATACAACAAAAAATACTAACAAAATATTTATGCAAAGTATTTAATCTTAAATAAATTAAAGAACAATTTCAAATGTAAAAAAGGTTAAAATAGCTCCTACACTGATAATAAACAACTTATACGGCATGTCAAACATCCATCCATTATCTTCTGCTTATTCCAGAGTTAGGTTGTAGGGGCAGCAACTTGAGCAGAGAGGTCCAGACATTTCTTTGAACAGCCACCTCCTCTGCAATTTGACTGTTCGTATGCAGTGTCAAACATTTTGTCACTACCTATAGATCTTTACTATAGATGAGGGTAGGAACATAGACCAGCTGGTAATCAGAGAGCATTACCTTTTATCTAGTCTTCCTCTTGACCACAACAAACTGGTACAATGGTACAAGATACTTAAACTCCACCACCTGAGGCAGAACCTCACCCCCAACCCAGAGAGGGCGATCTATCTTTTTTCAACTGAGGACCATGGACTCAGATTTGGAGCTGCTGATCCTCATCCCAGCTGCTTCACACTTGGGCTGTGAACTGCTCCAGTGAAGGCTGATTATGACACATACAGGACCATCTGCATATAGCAGTGATGGAACCCTGAGGTCAACAAACTGGACCCCTTCTGCTTCCTGGCTGCACTGAGAAATTTTGTCAATCAAAGTTGTGAACTCTGGCAGAGTCGCCAAATTTACTGCTGGAAATGCAAAACTGACTAAAACTGTATAGGTATTGAAAGGTTCAGAGCAAAGGACCGCCTCGCTACCATGTACTTCAGGGAATACAATTGAATGCCTTCTCCAGCTGCTAGGATCAATTAAGAAACATAAATTCCTCCATGATGATTAGATGGAGATTCACAGACATGTCAAACAGGTGGTATTGTTGCGACAGAAAGACAGAGCTGAATCTCCGAAGAGCCCCAGTCCTGATTATCAGCAAATCAAACCAGATTCAGTGGATCTTCAGCTGATAGAAAGTTGTTTTTGGTGAATGTCCAGGTGAGTTCCAAGAGCTTCCTTCACTTTTGCAGATATCGTCAGTGGCGCGTATTGTAGGAAATTCTAAGCTGCCATTTAGTCAGAGAGAACCTCAGCAGATAGTTAGATTCACTGATTTTGATTTTATCAATCCTAATTAATGCTATTACAACCCTAAATAAATCTTGAATGTAACTAGAGCCTCTTCTTATTAAAACCAACAGCAGATGTTGTGAGGTCCACACAGATCTCTGTAGAACCACAGCAGATCTAAAGCAAATTTCAAATGTTTAGTTGGATTTCAGAAGAACATCAGGTCTTGTCAGAACATGTGATGAGAACCTCAGTCTTAACAAAACCTCAGTAGATCCCTTTAGTTAAAAACATTAAGTCCAGAGAGATTCTGGAAACCCTAGAGTAGAAACAAGAAGAAACTAAGCTGAGTGTTTGTAGATACAAGCAGAACAGCAATAAAACCTCAGGAGACATCCAGCTGTTGTGCAGGTGTTTTCTTTGACAGTGTGCAGATATGGTTACCGTGGCAGGGACTGCAGAGCAAACATCTACCTCCTTCCAACAGGAGAGATTGTTTACTTTGTTGCATCGGTTGTGGTTTTGTTTAACTACGAGGAGCGGACTCAGAGACATTACCTTGGACACACTGACTGCATCAAGTGGTGAGAAACTAAAAATCATCTGGTTCTTTTTACTTTGGTTCCCTTTGGTGACAGTAACATCTTTCTGCATTAGTCTGGCCATCCATCCTGATAAGATCCGCATTGCTACAGGGCAGATCGCAGGAGTTGACAAAGACGGACGAGTGAGTATGAACATCAGTCAGAAGCAAACATACACTGAGTTTGTTTCGGTGATTTGATGTAGAAAGGTTCTCACATTGTAATGAACTCACAAAAACAAACATTTTTAAATAAAATGCAAAAGTATTAACTGAACTTTTGACAGACTAATTACAACTATAGAACCCTGTGGCACAGCCTAAGCTTTTATCCTTAATGGCTTTTTATTAAGGGTTCATTGCTTTTACTTTCATACTTTAAGTAGTTTTAAAACCAGTACTTTTATACTTTTACTTGATACTTCTACTTCTAAAAAAGTATGTTTAAACCCTAGTATTTATACTTCTACTTCAGTAATGAATGTGAATACTTTTGACACCTCTGTGATTGGAGGTCATTTAAGTTTAATGGAAGTCTAATAACTTCTAAATGCAAAATGATGACATTTTCCCTGTGTATCCCATTGAAGCTGAAATAAAGCTTAATATTTCAAAGAACAAAAGCCATCTCCTGAATGCTCTTAACAATTAGAAGTTTGAACCCTCCCAATAAGATCAAGTATGATGTGCAACAAAAAAACCACTGATGAGCCAACAGGATCTCAGCAATTTCACACACACATGTTGTGGGAGTTTGTTTGAGGAGGAGCTTAAAAACAACAGTCACTGTTTTACACTCTAAAAGCTGACATGATGATGAATGGCAACACGCACCATCATGGTAACAGCCCACACAAACTACATGGTTTTTGTCTGTTCTGTCCAGGCGCTGCAGCCCCATGTTCGTGTTTGGGACAGCGTGAGTCTGTCCACCCTGCAGGTCATCGGTATGGGAACATTCGAACGTGGTGTTGGCTGTCTGGCTTTCTCTAAAGCAGTAAGTATCACTGCGCTGCACCATATTAATGTAGTTCCTTAAAGTGCCTGTGACGTCAGATCTTTGTAACACATATGAATGTAGTTTTGGAAAGATGACTTTGATAAAAAAAAAAAATTGCAAAATAAATTTCATGTTGCTGAGATGAACAGTTGTTAGGATATTTGCTTGTGAAGTAACAGGAAGTGATGTCAAAGTGTCAAATCTTATCTTATCTTATGCAGTGGAATGTCTGCATGTGAACAGGGCTTTGCCACAACAGCTCACAACACACACTGTAGAGAAGAATCTGCTTTTTCTTTAAATTATTTTGAGTCACTATCAGTAAGAGGGGAAGAAAATGCAGAGTTTAAATAATGTTTCAATAAACAAAGACCAGAGAGTTTTCTTTATTAAAGAGTTCCCCTTTGATGTCACTTCCTGTTTCACTTTGGCTGAGCCAAGTTCAGAAGAAAATAAATCAGTTAAGGGACAAAATGGGTTAAATCATGTGTGTTATGCCAAGTTTCTTAAATATAAAGATGTTTTCTTTGACTTTTTGTATTTGAAGAATATGCTTGTCACGAGTGCTTCTGACATACCATACATGACATTTCCTGTTTTTTCTCAGGACTCTGGTCAACACCTGAGTGTGATCGATGACTGTAACGACCACATGTTGACAGTTTGGAATTGGCAGAAGAAAGCAAAGATTGCTGAGATCAAGGTAAACATAAAACGTTTGTCACGTTACCTGCCTGTTTTTAAATTAAATGTTAGACCTTGTTCGAACTGTTCTTTGCTGTCTTGACAGACTACCAATGAGGTGGTCCTGGTTGTGGAGTTCCACCCCACTGATCCAAATCTTATCATCACCTGTGGAAAGTCCCACATCTTCTTCTGGACTTGGAATGGGAATTCTTTGGTCAGAAAAAAGGGATTACTTGGGGTGAGAAATAGTCTGTTTTATCTGTTGTTATGGCAAATGATTTTTGTTTTTCATATGAAACTCAGGAATTCAAGGAAAGTCTGAAGTCTTAAACCAGGATGAATTGAGGGAAGGCTGGTGCAGGTCATGTTTCCTTTAGGAAACGGGTTCAGTTCTTATTACCCAACCCTTTAGTCCCTGTTCACGCTTTCAGGTGGCTGTGGCTCAGTGGTTAGGAAGCCATGGGGCAAATCCTGTTCTGGGTTTAGTTTTTCGAGTTTGTTGCAACTCACTGGGGACAAACAGCTATTCATGCAACGTTCCTCTTTAATTAACAGTTAAGCTAAAAATTAGCAGCAGTGTTTCTCCTACCATTATCCAATCTTATAGCAGGCACCTGCATATACAAAAAGCACAAAACAAGAGTCAATAACAGCAGCAAAATTAGGGATGGGTACCGAATTCGATACTACCAAGTATCTATTCACGTAACATCAAACGGTACCATGTTTCGGTACTTAAACGCATCATTGCGACCGTATTGGCGTAAGAATAGTGGGTTTTCCATGCTTGTCCTGAACGCAGCATCACGCAAGAGTGTAATGACGTCAGCAGCCGCTGGTTCAGTAAACAGAGTTGAGTTCGGTCTGAACGTAGCTGAAAGCCTCGCAGCTTCTGGAGTGAAACTCACCGAACAGATCGCCTCTTAATTATCTGGTGGATTTTTTATCTTGTTCACTTGCTCAAAGTAAACAAAATACCGCCACCTTCTTTATTTCATCCGCCATTAAACAGAGACCGGCAGAGAAAAGAAGTGTTGGACGCGTTTTGGATTCTCAAAAAATTACTTTTTCTGCCAAGTTTAGATGGATAGATCAGGGGGGTTAATCCTGGTCCTGGAGGGTTGCTTTCCTGCAGGTTTTAGAGCATTTTCATGAATGGGTGGTTAAGAGATGTGAGGCAGTGTGTCATGTGACCCTAATGTGATCATTATAACAACTTATAAATCTGGAACTACTACTAGAGGTAGCACTTCACTTCTTCTGCTTGTGACATCATTGCAAAGTATTTAGGCAACATGTTTGTAACCATGTTGATTTGAAAATGTCACCTAACTTTCAATTACTCTGGAAACATGAGCTGTTTGGTTTTAGGCAAAGTGGAAAAATGAATTCTCCATTAATTATTATTATAAGACGATGAAAATATTTAAAGAAAAAGTGTGTGTCTGTGTATTGGTCTTCGTTTACAGTTAGTTTTTTTATGTATAATGATGATTACTTAGCAGTCTTGTATTCATGTGCTCTTTTTTAATATAAATAAAAGTTGGAAAAGAAAAAACTGGAGGAAGTTCAGCTGTATTCAGCTGCAGAGCAAACAGGAAGCTCCACCTCACTGAAAACAAAGAAACCTGAGTCACATTTCAGCCTGAGCAGTTTTCACTTACACTGTTTCTCATCAGTTTGTCACCTAAAAAGACTTCAAGTCCAGATTCATGTCCCTACCCTGCTCTGTTTCTAGTCCCAGTCTAACCCTGGTCTGAATCTAACTTTAGTCCTAATCTGTTCTTACTCCCAGTCTAACTGATCACTGTCTGGTCCTGGTTTGATTCTAAAGTAGTGTTGTTCTCTTGTCAGAACTGCGATAAGACAAAGTTTATCCAGTGTTTGGTCTTCCTGAGCACCGGAGACATCCTGACCGGAGATTCTAGAGGAGACCTGTTGGTCTGGTCCAGGAGCTCTGCAGAGACGGCGCCTGGAAAGGGACCAAGAGGTGCAGATTTGTTTGTCTATGTTTTAAATGTGCTGTTTCATTGTAAAATCTTATCTTATCTTAGTTTTAACTGAAATCTTAATTTATTAAATTATTATATAACACTACTTCAGTTTCACAAACTACTTCAAGTTCTCATCCATGTTTCTACTCTTTGTTTCACTACAGCTAAAAACAAGTTTAAAAACAGTTCTGCACACACTGTTCAGTTTGTTAAAGTTCTGAGAGATGCTGTTTCGCTGTGTCTGCTCTCACCGTCTGCCAGGATCTCTTCTTTTTTCCTTTTTTTTTTTTAAGCAAAGCAAGTTTTTGTCCAATTTCAATTTTGGTATCAAACCTTTTTTTAATGAGTTCCAACACTGGAGCTAAACTGTTCATGTCCCCGAGGCAAACTGAAATAGTTGTGACTTGCAGAAATAAAGACATTAAAATCCAGAGCAGAGTTCTGTTTCAACTTGTACTCCTGATCAGTGAGTTTCTGTGAAGAGAAACCACAGCTGGGAATGCATTGGCCCACTTTCAGTAATGGTTTTAATGTCATGTTGTTCAACAGGTTTCACTGGAAACATGCCTAAACTAAATGATTTTCAGCTGAGTTTTCATGTGGAGTCAGATAACTGTTCATCTCTGCCAAACTGTCAGACTGTTGAGATTTCTAAGTAAACTCACCTGTTCAGGCGTGTACAGGCAGAAGATCAGTCCAGAGTTCAAACAAATAAAGTTTTAATCATTTATCTGGAATGGCAGACGATGAAAATGTCTTTTGAAAACCAGATGTTTCATTTGTGGACTGCTGCTTCCTCCTGCTGGTCACTGCTTGAACTACATCCACATTTATATAATCAGTGTCACACAGAGACTTACGGCTCTGTCATACAGACAGATGTCTCATTACAGCAGAGAGCTGAGACCTTTCTGTGTGGAGTTTCCATGTTTTGTCCGGATACTCCGGTTTCCTCCCACAGAGCAGAAACATGCATGTTAGATTACTGCTAACTAAATTGTTAATATTTAATTTCTGAAACTTGTGCGTCTGTGTGTGTCTTTATCTGCGTGTGTGTAGCCTTTCAAATCAGTCGCAAGGTTGAAGGTCCAGAGGGAAGTAACATTTTTTGTATGTGTGAGATGAGAAGCGGCTTTCTGCTGACTGGAGGAGGAAAAGATCGAAAAATCTTTCAGTGGGACCACGAACTTCGAGTGGACCGAGAAATTGAGGTTCGTGCGCACACTTATGCATGTACGCACACATGTACACACTCGTATATGTGTACACACATGTAACTGGTAAACAGACTGTGCTCCTTTCTATCCAACCAGGATACTCAAAGCGCTTCACACTACAATCTGTGCCCTCATTTACTCATTCACGCTGCACTTTACTAGATCTCACTACAAAGCTAACATGTACAAATCAATCTGTAGAGACTAACACAATGCTAATCACATTCATACACTGATGGGACACACATCAGAGGCATTAGGGGTGAAGCGTCTTGCCCAAAGACACAAAAACTGAGACAGCTGGAACAGGGGATCGAACTAGCAACATACCGGTTCCAGGATGACTCCGCTAACCACTCTGTCACATACATGTACTCAATCATATGTGTACACATACAGTCCCCTCCAAAAGTATTGGAACAGCGAGTAAAATTATTTTGTTTTTGTTGGACACTGAAGATATTTAGGTTTAAGATCAAAAGATGAGACGAGTTCAGAATGTCAGCTTTTATTTCCTGGTATTTACAATGTAGATGTGTTAACAACTCACAGCATACAACCCTTTGTTTGAACCCATCCATTTTCAGGGTTTCCCCTAGGATTTTTTTTTAACCGTGGTGGTGGTGGGCTGTCTTTTTTTTGAGTGGGAGGTATTGACACAGACATTTAATTATTAAAGGTGATTTATTTTATGCTAATCTGAATCAGTTTAGTATATTTTGTAAATATATTTGACAGTTTTGTAGGAATGAACACATTATCATGTTAATTCAAAATAAACCTGCTTCTTATTACTTCTGTAAAATGTTTAAAAGAAAATCATAGTACAAATCCTCAAATCATGTCCTGTTTCTACAAATTGTCTTTGTAACACTTCAGAAGAACTCTAAACTCTTGTAGATATAAAAGACAATAAAAAGACAAAAAAAAATGCAGCTATCCAAAAAAAAATCTTCATTTCAATTATTGAAATAAATTTATTAAGAATTCAGTTCGCATAAATATGTCTGTCTGCAGGTTCCGGATAAGTTTGGAGTCATCAGAGCTTTGTCTGAAGGGAAGGGGGAGGAGTTCTTAGTTGGCACATCTCGTAACTTCATCCTGAGAGGAACCTTCAATGACGGCTTCCAGGTGGAGGTCCAGGTGAGATCACATGACATCATGAATCTGACAGAAGATGACAGATACCGACTGGACCCCTCAAGTCTTGGTCTGTTTATCACTGTGATTTGTTGTTTGGCTTTGTTGCAAAAAGAAATTAATAATATTTTAAAATAATGCAGCTGTGCCCCATGGTTCAGACAAGCGTCCTGTTGCCTTATTTAAAGACATTTGACAGGGAACAGAGAAATATATTGAACAGCCCAAAGTTTTTGTAAGAACAAATAAAATGAAGCTGCTTTATCCTTAAGGATTAATTATGGCTTTAGGTATCACTGTGATGTGTCACAGCATCTGTTTTACAATCAGTTTTCAATTGTGGTATTAACGTAACTATCAAATACACTTGTTTTAATTATACTGTTATAAGTGTAAGCTGCTTGTGATTGTTTCTGTTAGATAAAATAAATATCAAGACAATAAGATTGACAAACAAGCAGCAGCTCTGGATGAGCTCTTTTACTTGCTGCAAGGAATTCATATACAGACAAGGTACAATACCATACCATGTCAGTAGCATGAACTGACTTTCTGTACAGCTGTCAGGCTTTTAAAGGGTCCCATTCAAAGGGGCTGAGTGTCCTCAAAATTTATTAGTGAATTAGCACTTGCTAAATTTATAGGCTAAATTTAGAAGCACTAACTGAGGTCTATAAATGTTATTGATCAACGTTGATTCAGCTGAGGGTGAAAGTTATCACACATTTTGTTCATGTGTTTGTCATGTATCCACTAGGTGACAATATATGAACTCAAATACAGCTGTGGAACGTCAATGACAAGTCTTAAGAGAGCAACATGTGACTCTTGTCTGTTAAAGAATGTTCATGGGTTGACTGGGTTATTTTAGTGCTTTAGAATTAGCTTTTGCTAAATATTTCAGTTAGTGCTTTAGATTTAGGGGGCCTAAATATTTGAGTTAGTGTTTTAGGGCTATTGGAACTAATGTTTAGATTAGTGCTGCCCACTACTGCTGATCTCTATAATCTAAGTTAACAGTTTAGAAAGTCAAAGATCAACAGCTGTGTCTTCACTCTAATAGTAACTGACCACAAGCAATTAGGAGGTCATGCAAAAACAAACACAAATCAACAGTATTAATATCTTTTAATTAAATGAACTATAATATTTAAAATCACAATTTAACCAACAGTTTCCCACTGTGTATCACCCTGATTTCTGTCTGAGCATCATGACACACTACAAACAAAGGGGCCTTCTGGATTTAGAACCCTCATTTTCTCAATGTTATGTTATTTTCATTTTGTTAGAAGGTATTTCAGTGGTGCTTTTATTGTCTCCTGTTTCTGTATTTCAGTGATGTGTTCAGGGTCTGTATGCCTGTGATGTGTTCAGGGTTGCTCTATGTCTGTGATGTGTTCAGGATCTGTATGCCTGTGATGTGTTCAGGATCTGTATGCCTGTGATGTGTTCAGGATCTGTATGCCTGTGATGTGTTCAGG